TTTTTGTCCGGTATATACTCGATGGCCAATTTAACCATTTGTTTGGGAAAACTAGCTGGCACATATTTTTCGATTTCATTATCCACGTTCATTTGATTTTTATGGTTAAATAGTTGTTATGTTTGAAACAATTGTGTGAAAATAATTGTTTTTTTATGATAACGTTAAAAACATTGAGATTTCTACACAATCAATACAATACAGTATTAGATTAATTGAAGGCCAAACTTGGTTTGAAATACTGATTACTATTATAATTGTTTTTACAGATTTGTATTTATCATTATAAGTAATATTTAAGTTTGATGATAAGTTAGTTAAATGTTATTCTAACGGCATATTTTATTTATAGAAAATTAGTCTTGTTAACTTATTAAAATAGCTAAAAATATTTTAAAGTTACTAAATATAATTCATTTATAAAATGTCGCTGAGTGTTTTAATTAATTCAGTTCTATTTATTATACATGTATCATGATGATTAGTTAATTAGTAACCAATAATAATTACTGATTACTAGTTTACTTTGTTTTGTTATACATTAAAAGACAGAGATTTAATTTGTTACTTCTAATTTTATTTATCATTAATTTTTTATTAACATTTATTTAAATATTATTTGATATTAAAAGATTTTCACAAAATTTGATAATTTAATAAATAAATATTTTTATAAATAGATAAACCATGAAATGCATGTTAATTATGTAATTAATATCATAATAACATTTAACTGCTGAATTGATTATAAAATATCTAAAAATTTTTATGATTTATAGATGGTGAATTTGAAAATAAACAATAATTATGTTTAAGTGCAGAGCAAACCGCCCGTTGTCAACAGCATCGGCACAACAGCCCTATTATACCAAACATACAGAATATTAAGCAAAAAAAGTTTGCTATTATTAATGCTATAATATATAGAATAACTACAGAATGCATATAATGAGAAAATTAGCATATGCTAAGTGAATATTTTTTATCATCATTAAAGTTCAATACATCAGATCAAATGACCGTAAATGTGTATTCAGTTTGTTCCCATAGAAAGACAACGGATGCCATTGTATTATCAATCAATCATTAACTATAAATAACATTAATTACAATCAGCAAAAATATGATTAAATTGACTGTTTATCTACACAAAAATATACAGTGAAAGTAAATACAAGACACAAACAGACAACTGTGTCCTCAATGCGCAGGTTTTGGGATCCAATACTTAAGACTATACCAATGCTGAGGGCATCGGATCAATGGTGGAGATCCATAGACATTCTCATAGGCGCTCACGTATTATATAATACATGGTATAAATACAGTATATAGTGAACAGCAGTTTTTGTTGATATGTTTATATAATATATATTTTCTGTGAGTATTTTTCGCACTGGTGTTTATCACAACTACTGGTGAATTGAAAAACAAGTTTTTTTTCAAGAATTTAATTTATTTCTTGGTTTTTTATTGTGATTGTTGTCTGAATATTTCATTGACATTCAATTCTTACTGCTTGTATACAAGAATCGTATTGTTTTGTTTAGTTTATTATCAAGTTTGATTTGAATTTTGACAACTAAACAGTGATTTTGTTTGCATATTATTATTACTGTATATTCAATGAATTATGTGTTAACTGAATAGGAGATGATTGGCAGCGATTCCCATAGAGATGCCGTCCGTATTAGACAATTGTGTTTCTCGTATAGTAATTGCGATCGCATTCTCGATGACATCGAGCTATCGGTGCCGAAGACTCGGATCTATGGCCTGTTAGGGCCCAGCGGTTGCGGCAAAACGTATGATTTAATGCTCAAAATAATTACACAAAATAACTATAAATAAAAATATGTGTCATTTATTTACCATATGTTTAGTACTCTATTAAAGTGCATATTGGGTCGCCTAAAGCCGGACAGCGGAGACATATGTATATTTGGTGACAAACCGAGCAAATGTCATATACCCGGAGCCGGTGTCGGATATATGCCCCAAGAGATAGCCCTATACCAGGATTTCACAATTGGGGAACTTCTCAGATATTTCGGCAGAATATTTGCTATGAATTGCCGGGAAATTGAGGCTAAAATCCAGGAACTCATCGATTTGTTACAATTGCCAAAGAAAAGCACATTAATTGGTATTTATAATAAAATATAAAAATAGTTAAATCTATAAATATATACATGTATATAACTACTTTAATTTAAGCATTATTAATAATAATTTATTATTCAATAATTATGCCAAACAGACTCTATTTTATCAGATAATAAGTTTCCGCTTACAAGTACTGTACTTGACTTTTGTTGTCAATTATTATGCCCTTTAATGCAGTCATTATGTATTTTTCGTAGTATTTCTGGGAAATAATTTACAAAGATTGAATGTAATGACAATTACTAATTGACTATAATGCGTTTTAAATATATAACATGATATTTTAATACAATTCTAACCCCATAAGTTATATTATTTTTTTAACAAACCTGATATTAATGTGCATTTCATCTGTACGAGCAAATAAAAATGTAATCGACTTTAATATTAAGATTATTTTAAAAATAATTTAATTTATGGGTCTTTAAATATCAAAAAATATCATATTATTTGTCTTTAACATATGATATACAATGAATTTTATGGACCAATCAATCAAAATAGTTAAATCAATATAATTTATCATAACTATACTTTGGATACTAATTATTATAATAAATTGTTAAATATACTGTATGTGGTACAAACATTTTTGGAAAATTTTAAGTGATATTACTTTGCATTGATAGACAAAATAAATTTAAAAATTGATTGAAATATTTATTTATTTATATTTGCTTGTATATTGAACCATAATAAATTATAAGTTATAATAGTAAATGTTTGTGTGTCTCCTGATATTATATTCAATAGTTACTAATTAAAATTAAAATATAATTGAATTAGTTTTGTTTAATATAAAACAATAATTTATACAAATTATAATTAATAAACATTTACATGAAAGAATAAATAAAATTAATCACTAATATAAACATACGAACTAGAAATATTAATCAAAAATAAAAATTTAATTTAATTAATTTAATGAATAACAACAGGAAAAATATCGGGTGGCCAACAGAGGCGGACATCCCTGGCCTGTGCTCTCATACACTCCCCGCCGCTATTAATACTAGACGAGCCAACGGTGGGCACCGATCCTATACTGCGGCAGACAATATGGTATCACTTGAAGTGGTTGTGCCGCTCGGGTCTCACCATAATCCTGACCACACATTACATAGAGGAGGCGCGCAGTGCGGACACAGTGGCCTTCATGAGGTGCGGAAAAATACTGGCCGAAGACAACCCCAACCTATTGCTCGACAAATACCTGATGACCAGTTTGGAGGACGTATTCCTCCGGTTGTGTCATTTGGACGGCAAGATTGGCAACAATTCGGACGACATATCGCTTCTCACGAGTGATAAAAAAGAGACAAAAATATATTACAAAAACCAATTATCTCTGGAGGAGAAGGAGGACACGATCGGCACGACAACTGTCCCGTCGGTGAACTCGAGTTCAAAGTCGTCGTCGTTGATACTGCAGAGCAGCGCCGGAAGCGCTGATTGTGATAATAAAAGTACGGATCAAAGTCTGGATATGAATGGCATAACAAGCGATAACAATATCCATAATAATAATAAACACAATAATTGTGTTTACATTAAGATAACTGATGAGAGCGTTGTCACCACAAAGACAGTCAACACCACATCAGAGGCGACAACACTTGACGTCACCGAAAAGCTGTTGCTGTCGACCACTGGAACCAATGCGGAGACTGTCCTCAGCATTAAAAACTCGCGGTTCACTCAAAGATGTTCTGCGCTGTTGAGGAAGAATTTCCGGCGTTTGAGCCGAAATTGGGGTCAATTGTTGTTTTTCATAGTACTTCCGGCCCTACAGGTGGCCCTCTTGTTGATCAGTATCAGCTCCGGGCCGACAGACCTCAATCTGGCCGTCATTGACGAAGAGTCGCGTAACAATCGCACCAACAATTGGGGCGAACTGTTCCTCCAATGTCTGGACAATCGGACCTTTAATATCAAACATTACGACTCCTTCGAGGCGGCCATCGGATCGGTAGAGTCGGGCCACTCGTACGCTGCCGTCGAGATTAACGACCGATTCTCTGCGG